GATAATGAGGAGGAGGAGGAGGAGATAATCATCATCATCATCATCATCATCATCATCATCCACCCAGAAATCCTGGCCAGCACAGCTAGTGGTGAAGGCTTCTGGGAGTTGTAGTCTAGGAACATCTGGGGACCCCAGGTTGGGAACCCCTGGTCTAAGACTTAATGCCAAGGTTTAGCATGAAGGCACTTCGGGCGGTCCAGAAGGTATAAATCCAATTTATAAAGGAGGCATTGTAGCTCCGTGATGGAAGTCGGGCTGTCTGGAGAGACCGTCCCCAAGATCTGGGCGTGGGATGCTCGGTTAGGGATGTAGCCCCTCCCAAAAAACCTCAATTCGACCCATTGACTCAAGTTGACTTACGTTATCTCTTGACGTCTTGGTCCGCAGTTGAGTCAAGAGGACTGCTCTACTAGAGCTTAGCGGTCGGATCGGTGCCGGAAGAATCAGCCAGATGTTGAGCGGTCCATGGTGCAGCCTAGAATTGGCAACTCAGCCTGGCAGCCACAGGTCTTCAGATTTTCAACCAGTATTATTCCCTAGGCCTTTCTAGAGATCCGTGGTCTTGCCGGCTGGGTCTCCCATCCAAGTTCTAAACAGGGCTGACCCTGCTTAGCTGCCAAAATCAGACAGTGCCAGAGGTGTGTATTCAGAGTGGTAGGGTGGTACTGAACCATCTCTGTTCCGTCAACTTTTTCTGTTGAGTTTCACCTCCTAGAATCCCTGATCATTGGACATGCTGAACTGCATTCTTTAGGATTTTTAGAGTTCAGCTTCCAGAAATCTGTAATTGCAGCCAGGAAACCTGGATTCGATTCCATCCCCACATGGAAGCGTTTTTGACTGATTCATTGGTGCCATCAGGTTCCTCCAACCCTCCCGTTCCCTGTTGATTTGTTTTTTTTAAAAGGAAGCTGCCGAAGTCCTTCCTGGGAGTAGTAGTTCTTTGGGAGGAACCCTCTATAGCGCCTAATGGACGGTAAAACTATGACTCCCAGGAAACACTGAATTAGTTTCCTTTTTTAAAGAAGATAGGCAAAGGAGGACAGTGATCCACCTAAAGGATGGGCCACCTCCTTCCAGCCAGTCCACACCTGCCTGCACTCTTACCTGTTGTGTGTGAGCTTGTGTTTCATGGTGTCTGTCTGTATGTGTGTGAGAATCAAACACCACTATGACTTCTCTCATCTGAAATTCTCCAAGATCCCTCTTCTGTACATCTTTCACCCCAAACTGAATTAGCTGCAGGCATCCATGCAGTGTTTATCACCCTGGTCTTGACTATGGCAATCCACTTTGTGTGGGGCTGCCCTTGACAACTACCTGGGAGCTTCACCTTCAAAGCAGGTTACCTGAATTACCACTTTTTTCCAGGAAGGTTTATTTAGCAATTAATATCTACATCCAAAATTTTTTTTCTCTCCGTCACATCTGGAAAAATTCAAAGAATTAGACCTCTCTGGGCTTCGAAATACTTCGCTAATGGTAGATTTCCCTTTTCTAACGTCACTTTCACTTGAAATTGACAATACTTTGATTTCAGCTGTTCCCTTAATGTGGAGTTTTAGGTTTTTCTTTTTTAGATTGTTGCTCTAATTTTCAATGACATCACATCACTTTCCCTCGCTGTCACTACCCTCCCATTTTGGCTTGTTTCAAATGTTGGTGGCACGTCGTTAATTGCTTTTAAAACACTGTCATATTGCCATTTTTCTTGATTATTTCCTATGCCTTTTATCTTGCAAGTTGTTCGTCGTCAATTTAACTGAAAAGAAGATAGGATCACGGCAACGGCCATCGACGTGACTGAGAATTAGACTAGCACTGGGGAAACAGACCCGGGTTCGAATCCCGTCATAAAGTCCATTGAGTGACTTTGGAGTGGACCGGTCAAAAGCCACCCTCACAGGGTCGTTGGTGTAATAAAATGTGGGGAATGACTCTTACAACATCCTGAGCAATTTTGGAAAAAAGGCAGGGTTTAAATAGAACAAAATAATAGATTATTTATTTATTTACCAACCCCCTCGGAGAGGGAAGTCTTTCATTAGGATTTGCTGCTGTTTTATGCTGTTTTTTATTTGATCACAGAACCTTGTGATCCCCCTCGGGAGAGGGAAGACTTTCATTAGGGTTTGCTGCTGTTTTATGCTGTTTTTATTTGATCACAGAACCTTGTGATCCTCACAGCATTCATTTTTCCTTGACCTTTTTAATGCTATTTTTGTTCACTGCCTCGGATACTTTTAGCAGAAAAACTGACGCTAAACGTTTTACAGGAAAGGAAGGCATGAAAATAACATTATTTTTCTCCAGGCACAGCTTGCATTGACTGGATGGTTCCTATTGTGGTTGTTTTTGGCATAGCTGTCAATTTAAAATTTAAATTAAATTAAAATCTAAAATGGTGGACGAGTAACTTTGAGCTTGGCAGCTCCTTTCCTGCACAATGAAATTTGGTTAGTAAGTAAGTAAGTAAGTAAGTAAGTAAGTAAGTAAGTAAGTAAGTAAGTAAGTAAGTAAGTAAGACAGACAGACAGACAGACAGACAGACAGACAGACAGACAGATACAGTAGATAGATAGTAGAAGTCCAGAGAATAGCTTCAAGTTCCCCAGATGGCCTGCCCCTTTCTCATTAACTGTCACGTACAGTCTCGGTAACTCACTCTTGAGACATTTGTAGGAGAAAGGATAAAAATGTTTCATTACTTACAATTGTGAAGAGATCAGCAGCAAACAAACATACGGACTTCAATGGACTCAAGAGAGGGAAAGGAACACTTAGCAGAGAGGCGGGGCTCTCTTTGAAACCAAAGGCAGGAGGGAGCGATTGGTTAGTGCTGGATAGATTGACAGCCACCCCAGCCCAGGAAAATCCCTACCAGTCACTCAAGCCACAGGCAGCATGCAAGTTCTCAGTAGAACGTGTGGTGGTCCAGGCTCCTTCTTCTAGTGGAGAGGATGATGATGGCGATACTTCCCTCTCTTTCTTTTCTGGAATGCTCAACTCTCTGCCTTGGGGGAGGTCAAAGAGGGTTTATGTATTAATGCCAAAAGGCAAACGATGTCATTCTCTTGATAGAGGCGTCGAGAAGTTACTTTTGCAAGGACCATTGTTCCCAGCATCAATTAGTAGGGCCACACCATCAGAGAGCATGTCTTGACAGAATAGGTGGGGGGGGGAGAGAGATCGTAACCCGGTCCTCATCTCCCATTGCTGGTCCTTCCAGGTCATGCAGATAGTCCTGGACAAGATTCCTTGCAGAAGTTACTTCTTCCAGTGCCAATTAAGGCAGCACAAAACATTTCCGTCTGTGGTTCAAAATATCTCCTGGTCGCCTCTGGCGATCACACTAAATATTGCAGGCAAGGAGCATTTGCTAATGGGAAGACCAATGAGTAAAGAGACCCCTTGGTGCCTCGGTCATGAGAGTGACTGCCTACAGATGTAATCAAAGGGGGAGGCCACTTTCAAAGCCTCTTTTTCTC